GCTCTGATGTGATGCCTTAGGTTTTTAGCCTTTGTATATACCTTTGTTTAGACTATACACACACACAGATCAGTGGTTATACACACTGATTTTTCTCCCTCTCAAACTTAAGTGTCTTAAATTCAAGTAGTCTCATTTTTTAAACTAATAGCCTGTTCTTTCATAAGCTTATAATCTACTTTCTTCCCAATCATGCATTATAGAATGAATACTTGTAGAAGATTAATGTGTAACTGTTTTATCAGAAGCCAGACATGAAGTAGTTCATATATTTTTGTTGACACTGAAGCAGATTGGTCTTAATAGTGCAGTCCTGTAGCAGGCTAATGCACAATGTGCCATAGTGGCCATATTTTTCAGATTTGTTAGATAAACCCAATTTCCTCATTTAATCACAGTTCCTACTAAGAAAATTAAAGAGATATTGACTGTATTATCCTAGCTGAAGATATTAAAAACTCAACAATCAGTCATTTGTTGCCATGTGTGAACAATGTTTAGGCAGAAGGGTTAAGCAAAGGCAATGGGGGGTTCCAAAAATTCTTGGATGGGGCTGCATGATCTGAGTTTATGATGCTAGTTTGCTGGTATTCTCAACTTTACCAACTATGCCCCTTTGTTTTTTCCAGCCAAAATGTACCCAAGTCCATTTGTCTGGTCATGTAAATTTCTGTCAACTCACATTAGTAACATTTTTCAGGTGCCTAATCTTCCACATGGTTTATAATCATATAGGCATTCTCAGCTTCCTTCTAGGCCAGAAATAATTTGCTTATATTTATTGGCTAGATATAAACTGACAGAGGAAAAATGATCATTTCAATTTTCCTAGACTTGCAATATTGCTGTGAGCTTGAGTTTTGGAAGTTTTCAAGTGACACTGCCAAAATAATGTCATGTGCAATGCTTTTATTTCTCAGATACTTTAAGGGCCCTGAACTTCTAGTTGATTTGCAAGACTATGACTACTCATTAGACATGTGGAGTCTTGGCTGCATGTTTGCTGGAATGGTGAGAATTACTGCTATAGGCCACTACTTACTGGATATATGTGACATACCTTTGGCATTATTTAATAGGAAGTCTAATTTTCAATCTACATGTGCAAAATCGTGAAATTATGGGTTATGATCCTTTTACTTCATGTAGATATTTCGCAAGGAACCTTTCTTTTACGGTCACGACAACCATGATCAGCTTGTCAAAATAGCTAAGGTAACAGTCATGGTAGTTCATTAATGTATAAAAATTGCAAAATTATGATGTTGATGCTGTGCAAGTTAATCTTGATTTTAGTTTTTGACTGCAATCTCTTATCTTTTATTAAATGAGGATAATTAAGTATGCCTAAATTATTCCGTGTGTTGCATGCTAAAAGTTTGAATTCTAGACGACTTACCCCCTCTTGTTGACCTTTTATAGAGATACATATTCTTTCCAGATCTGCAGGAATCTTATTCTTTTATTTTTGTATGTGATCCGCAGGTGCTTGGGACTGATGAACTGAATGCATATCTGAACAAGTATCATTTGGAGCTTGATCCTCAACTTGATGCACTAGTTGGAAGGTATCATCTTCCATTTGATTTTCTACATATTTCATGGAAAATTGGTTTAGTGAATTCATAAATTTTTGTCTCTAATATCTTCCATGGCAATGAAATAGTGCCTCTCTCTCTCTCTAAAACTCTCTTAGAAGTTTACTGCTTTTATTTTGATTTTATCTCTTCATGATAGATGTATGAAAAATTATTGCTGTTTTTACACATCCTTTTTAATATTACGATATTGCCTTTTGCAGGCACAGTCGCAAGCCTTGGTCTAAATTTATCAATGCAGATAATCAACATCTTGTGTCTCCAGAGGTAATTTAATCCATGTTCTAGTATGGCAGTGAGACCTAACGAATTAGATTATACTTTGATTTAACAATTCCTCGTTATGGTTTTTAATTATTTCAATATATTGGGCATGCAGGCAATTGATTTTCTTGATAAGCTCCTTCGATATGATCACCAGGACAGGCTAACGGCAAGAGAAGCGATGGTAATAATAAAAGTCTCATTAATTTACCGTAACATTATTATTTTATTGTGTAAGTAGCTTAATCTGTACTATTTTATAATCTTTTGATTTAACAATTTTTTCCTTAATGTGTTCCCGTAGGCACATCCATATTTCTCTCAAGTAAGGGCAGCTGAAAGTAGCAGAATGAGGACACAGTAACAAATCATCTGTGGATCCATAAACCTGAGTTCATATATGTGGGATTGTTTTATAATACCCTAACATTGCCTTCTGTTAAGTATAGTTTGTTAGTTTTGTTGTGGAATGTAACAATATCTTGTTCCAGTTGAATAATTAGTCTGTTGTTGAAAATTCAAATTTTATCTTAAAAAAGTTGCGATTATAAATTCTAACTTTAAGCATATGTTTAGTTTTTATTAATGTTCAAAGAACTTAAATAAAATTTTGATTATAAACTCTTCTAAATACGAAATAAGCTAATTTAAATATACATCGAGAATTTTCCCTCTACACCGGCATTTTCTTGAATACAACATTGCCCATTGATTTATCCTTTCCATAAAGATTTTGCAAGTTGTGTGTGTAGAGGTAATCATTTTTTATTCTCCCAATTTTCATCCGACTTTTAAGACAAAATTAATTTAGAATTAGACTCAATTGAAAAATAAACGAAAGAATATCAGTTCAGTGTTTTTCTTGAACAGATATTAGGAATTAGGAGTCTTCCAACTAAAAATGGAACATGTTCTTATTCCTTACTAAATTCGTTTGCTGTCAATGATGTTTTTAGGAAATAGATGGCATGTACCTTTTTAATAGGAGATTATTTCTCTCATTATGAATGAAGGGTCAGGTACATGTTTGTCATCTTTGGCTTCACACATGAAACACCTGTTGTCTGATTCCTGATCAGGTATAAATGCCAAACATATATAGAAGTGTTCAATTTATTGTATCATGAAAATGCCTTGAGTGTTCAATCTTATTTAGATACTGTTGTAATGTCACTAGGCAGGGGCATCGAGGCGGGTATGATCAATGCGGAAGAAAGTGAGGCAGGTTAAATGCTGGACCTGTTTGACAACATGCTCAAGATTTTGACTTTGGATCACTGTCTTCGGTTTTTTTCCAAAAAAAAAAAAAAAAAAAAACTCAAATAAATTAAAATTTTGATTCCTTATTTTGGATTCAATTTGATCCAGTATGTTCAAAAAGTTTTGTTCCGATCTCTTTAAGTATAACTGTTAGATCAAATTGGTCATTTGCTAATTTATCATATTAATTTGGTCAATTTAATGACATGTAATAAGCAGTTAGAATGTTATGTCAATCAAAATTAATATTTAATACAGAAAATTGACAAAAGGATTAATTTAACTAATAAAATCACCTTTAAGGAACCAAAGTATGACTTAAAATAAAATGAGAGACCAACTTTTATTTAAGCTTAAAAAACAATTTATTAAATAAAAAATTATTTATCAAATATAGGTGATTTTTGTCAGGTAAGATTGTCACATAACATTCTTATACATGAGACGTCTTAGTGAAACATCATTGGTGTTAGATTTTAAAAACATGGATCATCCATGACATGTCACTTACATAAAAAAAAATGACAGATGATAGCTATACGCAATTAATAACATTAATATGTTAAATGCATCAAATGTATTTAATGAGATTTTTTAGAATAGTCCTGTTGTATGATACACAATAAATAAATCCAATATAATGAGGTTTTATTTAGCACATGTCATTTACTCTGAATGAGTTACATATGCAAAGACCATCCAATGTCACAAGGAGAAAAGAAAAAATTATCTGTCCAATGACCATGAGCCAACATGTGTTTGGCATGTGAATATATTAAAAAATATAATAATTTATGTATAAGTCATATTGCATAACAAGATTGCTGAAGATGAGAAACACATACTATTAATTTCGAATAAGATAACAAAGATAAATGACATGAACTATCGAAGAATCTAATAGTTATCATCATAATTTCACTGTAATTTATATTTAAAAAATAGCATATCTTTGTGACACTTCATGTCTTGATGGAACATATTTATCACACATTGAGAACTTGAGAATAATGGAAATTAATTTGTTATATTTTAAATAATTTATCATTATGTATTTTTCATTTATATAATCTCTTTGCTTTAACAATAAGTATTTTTAGACATTAAAATAATTAAATATGGGTTTATTTTTTTTTATAAATATGAAATATTATTTCATGTTTATTCAAAAATAATATTTGTATCAATATTAAATTAATATATAATTATAATAATTATTTTAATATTTTAAGTTATTATGAAATGATGTACAAGTAGAACAAAATATAAAAATTTGAATAGCTTACGAGATCCAATTGTTGGAATAAAACAAGTAAAAAATTGATGTGAATCGCTGAGGAGTGATCTAGTACTAGAATTCCGATTTCTCACAACAAAAGCTATAATTTTTTTTAATAAAAAGCCTCACCAAGATCGGGGTTAGGGCAGCGGACCTTTAAACAGCACAGTAAAATTTGCTCTTTTGGTTAATATACATCAACTTGTGTAATTTAACACTTTTTTAATAATAAAAAAAAAAACTCTAGCTTATAAGCAACTACGATTGTAGTTGCTCCAAAGAAGCAAATGAGATTTCTAAGTTTGAATACATTTCTATTGAAAGAGGATACCTGGATCATAACAGCATAATGGCCAAAGTTTCATGAAAATGTGAAGATGAGATCAAGTACTACTCAAAGAAATTGGGAACATATGAAATTCTCGTTTTGATAATTTGAGAATAAAGCATACAACGGCACCGTAAGGACATCAAATTTTACTGTCTCCAAGTGATAATTTTGCCACAGGACTAGAGAGAGATGGTTGGGAAATGTGATCAGCTACGGAAAAAAAATTTGGATGGTGTTTAAGGTCTGGAGCATCCAGGCTTGTGCAAGCTGTAAGTATTCAGAGTCAAATACTGTAATCCGGTGATTCTGTAAGAAACTTAATATTGACACTAACGATCATTCATAAGTTACAATTCGACAACAAAGAGAAAATTAACACAGTTTCTCACACTTAAATCAATGGAAAAACGTAGTAATTATCCCCTCTCGTCTCTCCCAACCCACAAGACACAGACAGACATATTCGATATAAAAGAAATTGAAGATCTCTGTGATATATTGTTAGAAAAGGCCATAATGATATCAAGTCTCCACATGCACTCGTTCACTTTTGAAGATGAGGAAAACAAGCATAGACATCAGATTTAGGGTGTTTGGCTTCAGCATGCTCCCTGCACTTCACTTCTGATGTGGTGCACATAAATGTTTGCATGCACACCTTGCACTGCAATCATCAATCACAAAATCATATTCAGATAAGGGTTCCATTCTGCTGAGTCACTACAGTAATGCAATGAGAGAGAAAGAGTTCTCCCTTATAGGAGATCATCTATAGATTAAGATATCACACATCTATAATCAAGTCTTCAAATGTACAAACATTTTGACATTATTGTGATGGAACATCATTCAAGTGTGTATACGTCTTCCAAGACAGATTGAAAGAAAACAATTATTGGGTTGACACAATGTAGTAAACAGTTTATGCATTGGACAAATAGAAACAAATTGGCCAAATTAGAAAAATTTGCCAAACTAATTGCATTTTTTTTATCGGTAGGAAAGATTACAATGATGACAACATATTTCAAACCTAAGACTTAGATCATGCTAATCCCACCTCACCACAGTGATTCAACCAATTGCATTTGAATATATACTTAAGTCTAACAAAGAATCAATCACTCAGTTATAAGCAAATGTTAGTAGCCAAACAATCTTTGATGAATTTCATAAATACCAATTGATAAATAGCCTAATTAAATGTTAGGATGAAAGACAACAGTGCTGCCTGCCTAAAAGGAAAGAAATAAATGACTTCAGGCAAAGCATTTATGCATTAACAGTGCTGCCTCGCATGATGCCTGATCTCAGGTTTGGACTTTTCATAATTTCCAAAGGTTCTATTTTCGAGCCACATATTATTAACATGGGGTAGTAAACTTGTGATATAACACAAAAATAACAAGCATAAAACAGCCCTGAGCCCAAGGAAAAGAGTAACCAAGCAAAAAACATATTACTCTTTTATTTAGCAGTAAAAAAATTGCTGAAATTATTGGTTCGTTATAAAAAAAGGATAAAAATCACCATGACATTTAGATTAAACCACAAAAATCTTGATTAAAGAATCCATGTTTAAATTCGGGTTATACGAAAGGGAAAAAAACAAATAGATAAAAAGGGTACATGAGAGGCTGCACCAGAATTTTACCTGGATATTCATGGCTTTCTTGTTTGTTTCCAGCTGGCTTCCTGCACATACCAAACAATTATTAAAATCAATAACTGCATCAGATCTAACATATGAAGCCCCAATTATTTTGAAGAAAATATTTGTTTAAAATAAATTAAATTTAATTTAATTTAGTCGTAAAAGTTTAGGGTTTGAAAAGAGAAAGGATTACCCTTAGCTGCGGCCTTCTGCTTCTCGAGGTTCTTCTCGCGAGCCATCTTTGCCTTTTGACCATTGCCTCCTCCCATGACTGATGTGGCGCTGCGAGAGACCCAAAAACAAAAACCCTAACTTTTCTCAGAGTGGCTGCTGAATATATGGGACTCACACTCTGCACACGCAATTCTTTTATTCATTATTTGTGGATTTAGTGCGCTTTTAAACCGCTATTTATATTTTTATTATTATACTCTTCCTTATGGGTCGCCAATTACCCGCAACGGGCCCAAACTAAACCGAATAGAAAAAGTATGTTTGATGGATTCCCCAGATTTTCAGTTTGATCTTTGATGGAGTTGAAAAAACGGATTTAATTGGACAATTTTGAACGGGTTTAATTTTAAATTTTTAAATTTATTGAAAACTAAACCCACCCGAACATTATACATAAACTAAGAAGTAGGAACTAAATTGCTATGTCTTTTTTATTTAATAGGTACGTCTCTTTTCTTTATTTTTTTAAACTTCTTAAATATGCTGTTAATTTATACCCTTTTTAAAATACATTTTATTTTTAAAAACTACTTTCTTCATTTAATCATTCACTCTTTCTCTTCCACTACTCTATTTATCACTAACTACTCTTCTCTTATTCTTCTTTTTTATTTATTTTTCTTTGTAGAATTTTTTTCCTCTCAAACAATCAAAGTTCTCACCACTCTTCTTTGTTAATTTTTTGAACCTTTTTTTTTTCATTCTCAACTTTAAAGTTCTCTGAAATCTAATTGTACAAATAAAACAACTTTTTTCTATTTTCTCAAAACCCTTCATCAGTATCCACCAATAAAATCAAAAGAAATTATTTAGTTACTTAGAGTGTGTTTGAGAACCAATTGAGTTCAGAATCAATTGAAAGGAAAAAATTACACACACAAACTTTTTTTTTTATTATTGAAACAACGTATTTTTTCGTTAAACGTAATTTTAAATTAATATTCAAATGTCCGGTTAATGTTCGGTCGGAGCACAGGAAGGGGTGAATCAGAAAGTGAGCGTGTATAACTTTGATGACAAGGCTGGGAGCTAGAGGCAGTGATGGATAGTTCCTCTATCACCGTTGAATTCCATTTCTCCCAACCCACTTGATTGAGAGCCGTCTAAGGCGTGGAAGACAACAGCCAGCGACCATTGGGGTGGTGAGTGTTGGGCGCCAAGGAGTAGAGTGAGAGGAGAACTTCAACTACACACACCTGTTACCAGAACTTGTTCTATCCTTTCAAAGATGGCTATATGTTTTAGTTTTATCTTGTTTTGAAAACTGAACAAAATAACCTAGGCTTGTTTTCAAATTTTTGTTCTAAAAACTAAAAAAGAGATACTATTTTTAACCATAGTTTTCGTAAAACACTTTTTAAAAATAAAATAATTGTTCTTATTAAGGAAAAACAAAAACACTTTCCTAAGAGTAAACAAACACGCTCTTAGAGATCAACATAGGAATGAAAAGGTGAAGAAGGGTAATGGCTCTCAATCTAATAATGAACAGCTAGTAGTGCCTTCATGCTATCAAAATTTGTACTCTTGTTATACAACTTAGGCATCTAATTAAATTTATCTGATGGTTATTCAATATTCATCTGACAATATAAAAATAAACTGCGTGGAAGATGACGACCTCGCATAAGAGACAGAATTGATAGGATCGACGTTAAAAATCGAATCTCGATTGCAGGTGCCAATAATCTAATCATCCTGTTCTTGATCTCTTATCCACTTTGTAGCCACCCACTTCTCCCCTTTTATCACGGGGCAGCTCCCATGGAGTGATGTCTGCCAAAGATACATAGGACAAGTTAAACAACCAGAATTCGGTTTGCACTGCCATTGACACAAATCTATCACCTAAGTAAAGAATGGACACAAAATGATAGATGGTTTCTGCACAGTTGTCTAGGATACCTTGGGTTATCACTTATCAGAGTTATCAATATAGCTTAACAGTTAGAGATTATCGTTTAGCTCACTTAGCTAGAGTAGTTGGCTTAGCTTGAATGAAGTTATGATCAGTTATTCAATTGTAAACCTTCGCTAGAATTTAGGACGGTTGTTAGTAGTTAGATCAATCCCTACAGCTACTCTCACAGATCTTGATAAATTGTACTACAGTATTATTTATTATATTTATTAAAAATGGAGAGAGAGAGAGAAATAAAAAAGATCATATTGTATAAATATATTGTTCGTGTATTATAACTCTTCTTGATCTATTTGCATGTATAAATTACATGTAAGTTGAACAACTTTTTCTCATTACTTAACATATATGTTCGCAACTTCGTCTCGCTCCTCTTTAGTTCGGATATCTCAGTTTTGACATATCACGGTCTACTTATAAATGAAAACTCAAATTTTTTAAGAGAAGGAAGCACGTTTAAAAATTCAATTAGGAATTTGGTCCAAATTTGGTTCGTTGAAATATTTCCCCTTGCATACATGCTCATGGTATATACGGGAAAACTTAGTAGTAAAAAGATTGTCATAGAACTCAAAAATATTGTTGCCTGGTTGAAAAAAAATTGTTTTCGTATAAAGTTTGGGGAAAAATAAAAAATAAAAGTGTCAGCCACTCATTTTAAATATTTGAGATTTTCTTATGTAACAACACCCATTTATCTTTGCTTGCTAAACCACTCAGAAACACGTTTTGAGTTTAGAATCCATATCCACATTGTGGGATAATATTTTGTGGTCTTAAATTTTAGCCTTTGGGGTTGTTAACCTAGCCTTATCCACACAATAACCAGAAAAGGTAAAAATGATGAGAACAATACTAACCGGATCAATTGTACCATTAGGGAGCAATGAATAAAATAGAAGACCATCCCCTTGGCGTGGCTTTACTCTTAAACCAATGCAGTCCTCATACCCATAATTACCATCCATGTTCAAGCCATTCTGCAGAACAATAATGCGCTAACTACCAAGGAGAAAAAAAATGAGGAGTATGTGAAACAATATACAATGACAAACTTGGTTTTACCTCAAATGGAAACATAGTTTCCCCACCTTCCTGAACATCAGTTAAATACAGCAAAAATGATGCCATCTGCATGGTTAACCAAAACTGAAGTTAAGAAACGATCTCATTAAATGTGTTTGGACTAAGTTATTTTGTGATAAAATTGCTTATGGTCAAAATGCTATTGAAAGTGTTTTGGTTGAAAAGATGGTTTTGTACTATAATTAAGTAACACCGTAGGTGCTACAGGACTAGTTACGTAAAACAAAGTATAATTCTCATAAAATATCACATTGGTCCTCTATTTGTTTGTTACATCAAATTGGTCATGTAGTAAACCACTAGAATTAAGCTGGTGGTGAGAGGTTTGATTAGTTTGTATAAGGTCATTAAGTTCAAACCTTTGTCACAGTTGTACCAAAAAATAAATGGTCATTTGGGGAGAATTAATGCCATTAATATCATTCTTTTAAGTGTCAATTTGATAGCATTTACCAATTTCACGGCATAAATTAACATTGAAGGACAACTTTGATGTAATAATTGGAGGACCAACCTGTAAACACTTTTATCTTTAGACAACCAAAATGAACCTTTATTCTAAAACAAACAAATCACACAAATTCAAGAGCTGGAATTGTAGAGAAAGCAAGCTTGTAGGAACAATTATATATGATACAGGCAACATGAATTATTAGACAGTAACATCGTAGTTTTAACTAGATCAACATAAATTTTAATTGGACCCAGGCCCACACGATAACACCATTTTGCTCTCTCCTCTACAGAACCGTACATCATAATGATACAGATTTAGATCATACAAAAGAATCTTTTATTTAAAGAAATAATTAAAAAAAAATCCTCCCTTCACTCAATAAAAGCATCTATTATATTTCACCCAAACCTTTACCAATTAGCCCATAGATGTATATCAATCTAGCAAAATGACGAGCCATGTTAGAGAATAGACATGACACTACATCTTCTTTACAACTAACACAAATTTTATAACTAAAATGGTTGGCAAATCATATATGTAAGAGTTCAAGTTCAGACATACCCTTTGGCTCTTTTGTGGACCATATTCAATAAGGTTGAACGCATCATAATGAGAATTATATCTTTGACCAACCGCATAACATAGGATATTAAATGCCTGAAACATGGTGATTCCTCAGACAATTTAAAATCACCCTGAAAATGAGAGGTTTACAAATTCAACAAAATCATAAAGCACCTTTGTTGTAGATAACATGAAGCTCAGAAAGGGAACATATTACATTGAATTGTTTAGGGTTGAAAATATTGGTCTAAAATGTGATTAGATTTGTTTCCCCCCTTCTTTTGTTTAAAAAGTAAAAACATATGATTAGATTTGTTACTTTTAGCCTAGGGAAAAGTTTAGATTGCATTTCTCCAAAGAAAAAATAAAGATTAGAAATTTAAAAACAAAAAACCAGAGTAGGTAATATTATCTTTTCTTTGTTAGTGACTCTATTCCTGCCATAGAAATGTAATCTGTAGTTTCTATCCCAAAGATATGGAAGACAACGGACAAAACTTTGTCTTGATTCACCAATAACACAAGGAATATTACTCAGCTGGATCACATAAGAATAAAGGCTTTATAGGATTCCACGTCAGCAATAACGCGGGTTAAAAAGTGAAGTGAAAGATTTGTATACGTAAAATGTGAAAGCCCTAACTAACAACATTGGCATTAATGCCATATGCACTAAATTTCTCACCACCATGAGGAACAAATTTACCATTCCAAATGTTGTAAATTTACAAAATGATTCTTTCAGTATCAAATACCCCGACCTCATTAATGTTGTAACTTCTATTGCATCAACAAATATTACACCATTTCCACCAATAGAGGTTATTCCCAGACGTGGGAACTGATGTTTAAGGTTATGCCTAGGTACTGACCTGCACCTATTAAAGGACCATTTTGCTTGTGCGTAAAAATGATAAAACCTTTTCGCTTCCCCTAGAGCAAGTATATCTACATTGCAAATGTAGTGGACATGATGCCAGGTTTGCTATGCAAAGAAAAACAATACTCTAACAGCTTTTAGCATAGATAGAAATCCCAACAATCAACATAACAACAAAATAAAATAAAGAAAGTAAATTAGATTGATAAGGTCTTCCAAATTACTTTTTCTGCAAAGAGAAAGCTTAATAGGGATGTTACCTCTCCATGAGTTCTAGGAATCATTGTTGCTCTAGCAATTTTCTCCTCAATGACGTCTAAAGTCCCCGTTTTATCCTCAGAAGCACTAATAAACATGCCAGAGCTGTTTAAATAAAAAGAAAATACAACATTATGATTAAATTAAGGAATCGTGTGATATAAGTCCATCTATGATTTAGTACAAGATCCTATAACCAAAATTAAGTATTTTTTCATGGGTCAAAATAATTTGTTTAAGGTTACACTTCTAGTATACAAAAGCACATAATATATCTCGTGTTATCTTGATCAAAAAGTTAGTTGTCCAGGTTAGAGACAAGGAATAGGTGATCCAATATTAGGGAATCAAATAGATTACTCCTTAATTTTGAAGATACTGAAAATCTCAATCAAATTCATAATCCCAATCAAACATATCATAAATTTCGGACAAGCTAATAATCTTGCAACTTGTTCAGCCTACAATGGTTCTTTGCATTTTATACGAGTATGCCACGTTAGTCATTCCAATAACAAATTCTTTCCAGTGACTTCTGACTCGAGCAAGTCATACCTTTGCCTAGTTTGTGATAAAGAAATAAAGATAACCATTCTTTGTCCAGTTTATCATAAAGTCATACAATTTAGTTAACTATTTTACTTTGCCCAGTCCATAGTGAGACCAAACAGTTAAGTTTTTCACAGAAACACACCCACACTACCTTGTTCTAATTCCCTTCGTATTTTCCTCTGTTTCTCCTTTGCGCAATGCCAAGGTTGATGGTTTGAGGCCATCCTTTGCCACCTCAATTATGCTTTCACATTGTTCTACAGTTGCAAAATTAGGAAAATATACAGCTCGAGGTTTCCAGCTCAAAACCTAAGAAACACAACCACAAGATATTTTTATTTGAGATTCAATGCACAAGAATGAAATCCTTATGATTACGACCAAAACTAATAAAACACTTCTTCCGCTTTATCAATGACTAAAATTATTTTATGAAGTTAAAGTTAATGCTCCATTAGAACCGAATGCGTAACACTCGTCTTTAGTCAAAAAAACAGATTCTAGATTTTCGCTCCTTCAAATCGACGCCTATAAAATCAAAATTAACATGAACACATCCGAAACATCGATTCTACAAACTAATGTTATAAATATTACAATATTTTAAACTTAAAACACAACAAGAAAGGAATCACACACAGACAACGGCTATAATCTGAGTTGAAGAAACTTCAATTTCAAATAAGCCGCCATTACTAAATGTTAACCCAAACTACGCTAAATCCTTGAATTACTGCACTATTTCAGAACATAAATCTAAACAGGCAAGTAATCAACAAAAGAAATGCCATCACAATCGTAAACCGATGAAATCACAATTTCAGCTAAAAGCTAGCATCATTCACAACATTTCAGCAAAAGATTCGAGAGAGCTTGAAGAAGAAAAATCACATGCCTGAAAAGGAATCGATGTAATGGAATCATCACCAAGCTCTCCAACAGGCATCAAATTGTACTCCACCTCCGTCGATTCAAGCAGTCTCGGCCTCGGCCTCAAGCTATGACCATCGCCCTGCGAATTTTGAGCGATCGATTACTTCAATATTATTTGCCAGCAAAAAAAATAAAGAAAGAAAAAAGTCAAAAGAAAAATTGCTGATAATCTGGAATAACACAATTAGGACTTAGAAGGGAGACCTGAGAGTGAGAGAAGAGAGTAAAACCGAAGAATCCAGCGAAGAAGAAGAAGATGCATACGAGGAAGACGTAAGGGAAGCTGAGCTTGTTGGTCCTCAAGCTCCAATTTCCTTTCACCGTCTTGCTTTTCATTTGGATTCTCGACAATTTCTTTTTGCTTTTTCTCTTCCACGAAGGGTACTTTACGAGCACCTCTTATTCTTCTGACGAAGAAGCGTAACAAGTTGTGTTAAGTGTTCTCTCACTTTTAGTTTTTGTTTCTATGGATGAATCTCCGTGTGTCCAAGTTACTCCGGTTAATAGAAGAAAGAAAGTTTTCGGATCCAGTCTTCCTTTTCAAGACTAGTTAATTATTCATTGGATTCTGAATTAATTTGGATAATTTTTTTACAATATAGTAACTTTTTATACGATTTTTCACAAGTTACTTTTCTAACAGCACAAGCAACTCTTTAAAGTTGTTTAGTGCATAAATATATATATTTAATGAATATATATATTTAGTAATTTTTATTATATCATATTAGTATTAAGCAATTTTATTTTATTTTTACTTTAATTGTGAGTTTTTTCAAGTAATTTTTAGAAACTTAATATTTTATAATTTTTTAATATTAAATTTTAATAAAATTAAGATATATTTAAATTAATTTTTTTAATTATTACATAGAAGTAAAATTTTATTTAATTTAGAAAAATAATTTTATTTCAACAACTTTTTATTATTATTTTTTTTCTCTCTTTTTTCGTTTTCTTCTTCTCCCACACCATCATCAATGACTCTTTCTTATTTATGTTTTTTCTTTCTTTTTTCATTTTTTTCTTCTCTCACTCTTGTCTTTCTTTTTATTTTTATTTTTTTTCATCATCTTCTTCTGTCTTCTGTCTTCTTTCTTCTTCCTTCTTCTTTCTTCTTCTTCCCATGCCTCCCCCGCACCTCCACTACCACCACGCAAAGGAAGTTGTGCCTCTGTCGCCATCGCACGAAAGAGGTCGCACCTCCGTTGTCATTGCCTTCGTTGCCACCGCGCTTCCGCGCCACCGCACCTCTGCGTTACCCTGCCTCCATATCTCTTCTCTTCCCTCCTCCCCTTCTCTTTTCTTCCCTTTTCCATCTTTTTTTCAATTAAAAATTAATTGTATTTTATTTTAGCAACTGTTACTTGTACAAACAACTCAAACAAAAATTTAAGCAACTTTCATGTCATGTAGGATTCCTCTAATGATAAATTTTTTGAAGCATTTGTTGCTTGAATTAAGCAACTCTCCAAGTAACAGCCATTAGAGATGCTCTAATTAACAAAAAATACAAAGTGAGACAGTGGCTACTAGGACCATATCAATCACGGTGAAATTCTAGTTCTAATCTAATGGATGGAGTTGTTGCTTGTTGGATTCTTGTATGGAAAATTGAGAATGTGTGACAAATGGCACGATTATGTGCATAAAAATGATTGTTAGATTAAAGTACACTATTATAATATTTTTATGAATAAACATAAAACAACATTTAAGATTACGTGTCGATTTAAGTCATCATCAAGCAAAGTCTTAATTACACGTTAATTTTGGATGAATAATTTTTTAAAAGGTTTATTATCTTTATTAAAATTGTAAATGACATCAATTTTATTTTTTTAAAAATGAACCATGCTCTAGGACTTTTTGATAATATATCATTTTTAAAATTATATATCTTGAAATCCCAATAGAAGTATCACAACAATACTCTCTTTGAATCTATGGGTTGGTTGCTCATGCAGAAAGTATGCATCATACGGTATATCGTTAAACTTTGTTTATACGTGTTTTCATTTTCAAAATTTAAGGTTGCTATTAGCTTGCCCATCATGTTTTGATAATAAATTATTTTTAAAATTAAATCCCTTGAAATTCCAATAATGATATCAAAACACTAGTTCTATGATAACTTTGAATCCATACGTTATTTATCTATGTTGAAAGTATGTTTCATATTGGGTATAGTTAGACTTTGTTTATATATACTTTCATTTAACTTGTCCATCACCTTGTTAATCATTTTGGGTTTCCTTTTACACCTCATAGTGCATGTCATGTCTCCCTTATTCTTAGTTTTGTCCATTTTCATAGCCTCAATGATGCCATAATTTGAACTATGACATTAGACATACTAGTTAAGGTGTCCAACGTATATGATCTCCTCGATCTTGTCGTCTAGGCCCAACACACCTCGATGATGTGACTGTAATTTAGTGAAAACAACAATGCTTGCCCTTGTTGGTATTTGTCAATTTGTACTCAAGTAGAGGTAGAGCGATTAGATATGCATTATGAGCTTCTTGCAATCTTCATTGAGAGCTTAACAAATTGCACTACAAAAAAAAACACTTATTATTGACGGACTTTTTTCCACGGATAAATATCCGTCTGAAAATGACATTATCGACGAATTTTTTCGACGGGTATGTGTCCGTCTGAAACATAAATAATTCTGATGGATATTACCCACGAATTTTTTCCATCTGAAATTTCATATGGATTTTTTCCGTGGGAAAATTATGATGTTTCAGACGGATATTTCTCATGAATTATCTGTCTAAAACATTGTTCGTAGAAAATGAAAAAAAAATTTATCGGTAACTTTAAAAAATTTAATGATAAAAGATTAACAAATTAAATTTCTTAAATACTTAACTAATTTTCTCATGCTAATTAATTTGTCATACCAACTATTATATATATAAAATTTATAATTAAATGATAGTATAAAATAATAATTTACTATCAATATATTTTAATATTATATAGTTAATTTTATTTAAATTGAGAAATATATAATTCGTGAAATGATATTGATGCACGATAGTCTAATATTAAAAGATAATTTCTCAACATTTATAATAATTTTACCAATTTTGAACTGTATTATTTTTAATAAAACAAGATTATTATTTAATACAATTTTAAAATGCTTTTTTAAAAAATTATCAACAATACTCATGAAATTACCGACGTTATTACCGACGGATGCATCCGTGAGTAATTATTTTTTATTAATAATTTATTTTAAAAGTAATAAAATTAATTCATAAATAATTATAATTAATAAAAATTAAATTAGATAATTACCCACGGATGTATCTGTGGTTAATTATCGACAGATAAATCCATGGGTAATTATTTTTTATTAATAATCTATGTTAAAAATAATAAAATTAATTTATAAGTAATTATGATAAATAAAAATTAAATTAGATAATTATCCACGAAATTACCCACAGAAATATCGTGAGTAATTACCGACGGATAAATCCGTGGGCAATTATTTTTTATTAATAATTTATGTTAAAAATAATAAAATTAATTTATAAGTAATTATGATAAATAAAAATTAAATTAGATAATTACCCACAGAATTACATATGGATGTATCCGTGGGTAATTACCGACGGATAAATCCGTGGATAATTATTTTTTATTAATAATTAATGTTAAAAATAATAAAATTAATTTATAAGTAATAATGATAAATAAAAATTAAATTAGATAAAAAAATTAAAAAATATATAAAATTCTTCTAGTTAATAGAAAAGTCTCTAAAAACTTATATATAGAAGTTAATTATTCTTTAATTAGTTACTAATTTTCATTTAATATATGTTTATAAAAAATTTAAATATGATTTATTGATTTAACTATAATATTTATTTTTATATATAATTTATTATAAATTTTAATTATATATAATAAAAATGTAACTTGTGAAATACACAGACTAAAATATTAATATTTTTTAATTTAGATAAAAATTATAGTATTATATTATATTGTAATTCTTGAAATATACTGGAATGAGAGGATCCAAAGATTGTACAAGTATGAGATTATATAGTTGAAGATGACTTAAAGGAATTAATTTGTACTCTTTATACCAATGAGATGCATCTAATCTTTGGTAGCTTATTCCTTAAGAACTTCACAGTTAAGCGTATTTGACATAGAGTAATTTAGGGATGGGTGACCTTCTAGAAAATTTTCCAGAAAAATGCACAAGTGACGACAAGGCACGCTGAAAAGTCTTGTGTTGATTTGTGGGTTTGTGGGGTCAATCTTTGATCCTAAAAGCGGACGAATATCTCCCCATAGAGGGTTCTGATTGGTGAAGGATTCTGACCAACGAGGAGTTGTGTGAAATGTTGTGGAGTGGAACTGCTGAAAGGTCAGACATGAGGCATGTTGTACTAAATAAGGATGTTATTTAATATAACTTTGAAATAATTTTTTAAAAATATTACCAACAATACTCACGGATAAAATTTGTGGGTAATTCTGTCGGAAAGTTACCCATGGATTATAATATGTCGATAAATGTTTTAGACAAGCAATTTACTGACGGATTGTTGTCCATCTGTAATTCGTCGGAAATGAAGTGTTATCCATGGATTTTTTGGATTATCCACGGATTTTGGTCGTCTGTAATTTTAAAATTTCTTGTAGTGTTGCTCCATGAACTTTTAGAGGGGTTCTTCATCATTAGGCCGCTAGTTGTCCAATGTTGTTGATGTTATGTGGTGTGGGCAACTAATGGCATACTATTCACTAAATCTATGCACAAGGTATACCAAATGGACCTTTAGGTTATCGATAACCGACACATTTACTAGCATGTGGAGACATTTGTTTAGTTCTCTCAAATGCCAATGCACTTGCACAACAACCAATGGGGAAACTCGTTTGGCACCCTTAGACAATGATGCACTCACCTAACATCTAGGGTGACGCTCGACATCCTTGAGCGTCGATGTATTCGCGTAGCATCTAGGGGTACATTTGTTTGACACCCTCAAATGCCAATGCACTCACCCAGCATCTACGGTGACACTCAGCATCATCGAGCACTGATGCATTGCCTAGCATCTTAGGGACCCTCATTCGGCACTCTTGGGTGCCAATGCACTCACTCAACATTTGGGGGGACACTTAGCACCCTCGAACATCGATGCACTTGCAAGCATCTATGGACGCTCATTTGGCATCCTTGAAAGTCAGTATGCCATTAAGAACCCAAGTATGCCTATTTGGCATACTCGAAACTCAAATGCCAATTCTTTGTGTCACTGAATAGGATGAATGGTTGTACAATCTAGGTAAAAGTAATAAGAATGATTAAGCCTAAGTATAGTAAGAAGTGAATTATAAACTATTACCTAATTTGTAATCCCAGACTAGGGTCCATTAAAATCTAGGCGTAACATGGTTAGTATAAATAATATCGTATATCGAGATAAAATTATTGTTCATTATATATTCGCATTTATTACACTAAGTGAATTACTTACTTGAGCATTAAAGTTTCTTTTGCAAATACATCTCCCTCGATGTTGCAAGGTAATCGTTTTGAAGAAGAAAGAGACTAGAACGTACCCCGATATCGATAAACAAGGGTTCTGAAGTTTTCAACCAACCTTAGTTGAAATTGAGTATAGCAATTTAAGGTTGTGCTCTTTAGTTTGGTGGAAAAAATTGACATATGATAACATCATCATTTGTGTATAGGTTCATTTGCATTGTGTAGATATCAATGTGGTCATTGAGAGGCTTCCACATGAGAAGAAGAGGACATTCATGTTTCCATCAATAAAGGGATGGCAATGAAAAACAACTACTCAATGTGTATGTCCATGAGTCAAAGGCTTAGATTACTTTGGGTGTCCTCATGCTTAGACTAGTGCATCTAAGTATGAAAGTTGACATGATCACTTGATTCTTGGTGAGTAGTTAAGATCAACTAGCTACATTGTGCATGTTATGTTGTTGATCCCGAATTATGACATTCTTATATTGAAGAACACAAAGGTTGACTTTATGTTGACAACACATGGAGCCTAATGCCTTCACATTTTACCTTTATTTCTCCTCTATTTATCTTCATAACTTATAGACTGTTGTGTCTCCTTCCATAGGAAAAGTGCTTGGTGTTTTTGGTCTTGTGCGTAATGGTTGCAATTTCTAGTAGATACCATAGGTGGGCTAAAAGAAAAATTTTCTTTGGCATGGCCCTACGATGGGAGCCAAATATTATTACTAGATTATATGAGTGCCTCTATGACAAGTTTCTAGAACCTTTGTCATATGGTTAGTGACACCTTCTTCTTTATTGTCCAAACAGGTGTAGTACAAACAATAAGACTATAATGCTTAAGTAATAGGTGGTATTCACAAATCATATAAAACTAGAGTTCAACACATACTTGATGCCCTTATATATAAGTTTTTTATGATAATTGTAATCACATCCTATTAAAGCTATTTTATTTATAAAAAAATATAATCAACAAATAAAACAAGATAGTTACCCAAAATATATGCTAGATATATTGGGAAACTATTTAAAAACATATAAGATTTTGTGAACTTGGGAATTGTGCCACAATCCTTTTTTTTTAGGGATTCCATACTTACTTTGTTGAGTTGGTTATATTTGGTCACAAGTGGATGAGTTACAAGTTGTCCATGATGGGTCATCTATCAACAAAATTAAATCAAAATTAGTTTAGGTCAAGTAAACTTTTGGAGGTGAGATATGCCTATTTCAAATGAAAGTGAGGTCAACCAAGCAAGGTTGTCTATCGTCTTAGTAAAATTTGAAAAACACATTTGATGAATGTGACCTTTTAGAAAGATCAATCATAAAAATTTGATGAAAACAAAGAGTTGGAGCTTTAAGAAGGACTCGATGAAGACAAGCAAGGAATAAAAAAGAATTATTTTATTGTTTAAGAGTTATGTATTATGTAACACTTAACAATTCTAACTTTATCTAGCTTATTAGGGCAATTGGGAAAAACTTAAAATCAACCAAATAGTAAATTTAAATAGTTTAAAATGAAAATAACATTCCACGTCAAAGGAAGCAAATTGATTCCACAAAATGGAATTTAGCTAATAGTGAAAGAATCAAATTTTGAAGAAAGATATTTAAGAGAGAATTGAATCCTTCTCAAAAGAATTAATTCACAAGCTTTTTAAACATAACCTTCACTTATATATTTTTTAAAAAATAAATATATTTGATATGGTTGATAAAATAGTTGATATAATTGATAAATATAAAATATATAATAAAGAGATGTAATTTGTTCTAATCTAAACTATAATAAGGAAATAATTTTATCTCTAAGATTCATTGTGATTTTTTTATCATTAAATCTTTGTATACGAATATGATTCCCAATGAATAAACAAATAATTTCATAAATAGGAAAATTAACAAAAGAGTTAATAGAAAAGGGTTAGTCACATGAACCAAACTTAGAAAGGTTTGAAAGTCAAATATTAAGCTTCAATTTGTGTAATCTACACTTTTAAAAGTAGTGCTTTCACTTTGACTTTTTGTTTCAAGAAATGCAAGGATGAATTCCCTTGGTGGTTTTGAGTGTAAGTGGTTACCTAGTTTTGTAAGGAGACTTTCCTTGTAGAACCTGGTTTTGAGTGTAAGTGGTTACCTAGTTTTGTAAGGAGACTTTCCTTGTAGAACCTGGGGAAGGTGTCCTTAGTGGAGATTAGAGTGAATAAGTGATGAAAGTCCTAGGTTAGGTTATCAAGAAAGGTTCCTTAAGTGTAAAAAGCTTACTAAACTATAAACTTTAATATGTTAATGGAGAAACCTCCAACATAGATTGAGGATTGAAGTTAAGTCTTAGTATGGATTTAATTAATATAAATCACAATGCATTCTCTTCTAACCTTACACTCTTTATCATTGTTTAGATTATTTTCATATATTAATTTGAACTGAACCTTACTATGATTATTTTATTTGAATTAATTTAGAACATTTTCTTCATTGCCTTTATAGTTGTATTTTTCATAATAAAAAATTAGGAACTCTAAACAATTTTAGTTATAACTCAATTCGCTCCCTATTTTATTATTATAGCCACTTGGTTAAGACAATTTATGTTAGCCTGACTAAGTTGTCTTTAACTTGCCAGTGCAATAATATTTGTAGCTTTTATTAAAAAAAAATATCTTTTCCCTTTCTTTCACTTTTTGGAAGTCACCCCTTTAATTTGTCAACCTCTTTCTTTCCCTTTCCCTTTCTTCTAACCTTGAGGTACTAACCAAATTACCATGTAACTCATACATGCCAACCTTTGAAGCTCGAACATACCAACCTAAAGAGTTTGGACAAGTTAATACACGTGTACAACAATTATTATTTTCTAGTATTTGTTTATTGACACATCACTGGAAGCACTAGCATGTGTGAAACCTCACTTTTGGTAATCTTAAGTCATTTTGTTCTTACATGAGTTCAGGACTTAGGGACTTATGTACTAACTTGGATGAATAAGCTCGACTAATCTAACCTTGGGAGATCAACTAGTCTAATCTTAGTAAGTTAGCATGATCAAAATCATGTAGACTTGAATAGGTCAGCATGAGCAAAATGGAAGACATTACAATACAGAGAAAAAATAATTATATGAGTGGTTACTTGAATAAAAGGAGTGGTTGAATGATTACTAAGGATCAAGGTATGTATATTAATTAAATATGGCAAATGGGACAACCTAGAGTAACTTGATTGTCAAAGTCTTTTTTGTTGATACTCCTCTCCCATTACAAACAATTTAGAAAAAAAAAACATAGATCGGAAAGAAGATTGAATGTGAAACTTCTACTTGGAGAGATCATGAATTTTGATATTCAATCTTATCATATTCTAGATAGAACAATAATAAAGATATAAACTAATTATTTTAATATTAAATAATTTAAATTATAACAATAATTAAGTAATTTTTTTAACAATATACGCTTAATTTAAAATTATATTTTAATTCTTAAATTTTCTATTTTTAAGTTCTTTCTTATTTATATTTTTATATTATTAACATTATAATATATCTGTTAACATAAAATTTAACTTATATAAATGTATAAATAAATTAAAATTATGAAAAGAAATGTGATGGATTTCTCATAAATTTAGTTGAATCCAACAAAACCTTTGAAAATATAAATGAGTTTTTAAAATATAAATCTAACTTTTAAAATTGGAACTTAAACATGTCTTTTACTAATTAGAATGAGAGAGCAAATTCCGTTCCTAACCCATCTAGTCCACATCCTCACTTACACCAAAGTAAATTCACAACACCGAAGTTATGAGAGTGGGAAAAAAAATCTGGATAACAAAATTTAAAAAGTGTCCATAAAACTTATGAAAAGATAAACACATTTATTAAAAATAGACAAATACCTTATTTTTAACAATGAATAAGGGCCGTAAAACTACTTGTTTGTATTTGTTTAACCAACGCAACAAGTTGTTCTCTCTTGTCAATTGTCGTAAACTCCCAGCACAGGATGAAGCCCGTGACCGAAATTTCTTCGTTTTGGTAGTCCGTGAACCGGTTTCTTAACAAAGGAGGAATTGAAAAGAAAAATACTAGTAAGAAAAACTTGGTTGGTTGACTGGTGTAGACAGAGACGATAAGGTCCAAACCTTGCTGAAATATCTGCTATTTAAACATTTAATAAATGGCTAAGTGAAGCTTGCCTAATGGTCACTACAAATTAGTACCCGTGAATCGAAACGCGTAATTTACAATATCTTCAGCACCCACTTATCTTCACTGTCTACCACAACATGCATCATGTACCATTTAAACGATTTTGTTTATTTTATTGCGCATTTATAGTAACGTATATAAAATTCGTCTTGGAGTTGCAGTTGAGAATTGAAGGTTAGTAGGTCAAGGATGGGTGCATGAAGTAACGTTTGGAGAACGTTGTAATGTGACGGATGATCCGCAGGGTACTGTTGAATGGCAGAGTATAATGGCTTTAATCTGTAAAAACAGAGAAAAAGCAAAAGGAGGAGAAAATTAAAATTAAAAATAAAAGTGGAGCACTCGATAGTCGATAGTCTATAAGGGTAACAAACTCATAAACTAAAGTCACATGTGAACGAAATGAAATATCTTGAATCAGCTAATTGAGATGTTTCCATCCTTGCGCGCACTATGACACTATCCCCACTCTCTCTTTCTCCACTTTCTGTCACCACGCAATTATTTTGAGAACCAGACAACCACCCACCGCTTCCTTACTCTTTTTTTTTTTTCTTTTTTTTTTTTGTGTTCCCGCACAGTCACAGTCACAGTCACAGAAAGTGTGCATTAAAAACAGCACTCGGTAAAGCAGCATCGTCCATTTCCATTTCCCATTCTCCTCGCTCTCTCACAAACATGGGTTCCTTTCGCCAGCCTCTCCTCGCACTTCTCTCGCTTCTGCTCCTGGGTCTCTCCGGTGCGGCGGAACCGGAGAGGACCACTTACATTGTGCACGTGGCCAAATCGGAAATGCCGGAGGCCTTCGAGCACCACACCGTGTGGTACCAGTCGTCGCTGAAATCCGTGTCGGACTCCGCGGAAATGATATACACCTACGACAACGCCATCCACGGTTACGCGACTAGGCTAACCGCGGAGGAAGCGCGTCTGCTGGAGACCCAAGAGGGGATTCTGGCGGTGTTGCCGGAGGCCAGGTACGAGCTTCACACCACAAGGACGCCTCTGTTCCTCGGACTTGACAAAAGCGCGGACATGTTCCCCGATTCGAGTTCCGCGAGTGACGTCATTATCGGAGTCCTCGACACGGGTGTTTGGCCCGAGAGTAAAAGCTTCGACGACGCTGGACTTGGGCCTATTCCTAGTGGGTGGAAAGGCGAGTGCGAAACGGGCACCAATTTCACCGCCAAAAACTGTAACAGAAAGTTGATCGGAGCTAGGTATTTCGTCAGCGGTTGCGAAGCCATGCTTGGTCCGATTAACGAGACGGAGGAGTCTAGGTCGCCGCGTGACGACGACGGCCACGGCACCCACACCGCCAGCACCGCGGCGGGGTCGGTTGTTTCCGGCGCGAGTTTGTTCGGCTACGCGGCCGGGACGGCGCGTGGGATGGCGACGCGCGCGAGAGTGGCTGTTTACAAGGTTTGCTGGAAGGGAGGGTGTTTCAGCTCCGACATTCTGGCGGCGATTGATAAGGCGATCGCGGACAACGTGAATGTATTGTCGTTGTCGCTGGGTGGTGGAGTGGCTGATTATTTCAGAGACCACGTAGCTATCGGAGCTTTTTCTGCGATGGAGAAAGGGATTTTGGTTTCTTGCTCCGCTGGGAACGCGGGTCCTACTTCCGGGAGTCTCTCCAATGTGGCTCCATGGATTACTACGGTAGGGGCTGGCACACTGGATCGTGATTTCCCTGCTTATGTTTCACTCGGGAATGGGCTTAACTACTCCGGCGTGTCGCTTTACAGGGGTAGCGCTTTGCCAGATTCTCCTTTACCTTTTGTCTACGCAGGGAATGCTAGCAACGCCACCAATGGGAACTTGTGCGTCACGGGAACGCTGTCTCCGGAGAAGGTCGCCGGGAAGATAGTGTTATGCGACCGTGGGTTAACTGCTAGGGTTCAGAAAGGTTCGGTGGTGAAATCCGCCGGAGGATTGGGCATGGTGTTGAGCAACACCGCCGCCAACGGCGAGGAGCTGGTGGCCGACGCTCATCTCTTGCCGGCGACCGCGGTTGGGGAGAAAGCCGGTGACGCAATTAAGAAGTACTTGTTCACCTCAGCCAAACCGACGGTGAAGATTGTGTTCGAGGGAACGAAGGTGGGGATTCAGCCATCCCCCGTGGTCGCTGCGTTCAGCTCGCGTGGTCCAAACTCGATCACGCCGCAGATCTTGAAACCCGATCTGATCGCGCCAGGTGTCAACATCTTAGCGGGGTGGTCGAAGTCCGTGGGCCCCACGGGGTTGCCCGTTGATGGGAGGCGCGTGGATTTCAACATCATCTCTGGCACGTCCATGTCGTGCCCTCACGTGAGCGGTCTAGCCGCGCTGATCAAGTCGGCTCACCCTGAGTGGAGCCCAGCCGCGGTTCGTTCGGCTCTCATGACAACGGCTTACACCGTTTACAAGACCGGTGCCAAGTTGCAAGACAGTGCAACGGGTAAACCCTCCACGCCGTTGGATCACGGTTCCGGACACGTGGACCCTGTTGCCGCCCTTAATCCAGGGCTGGTCTACGATCTTAGCGTGGATGATTATCTTGGTTTTCTCTGCGCGTTGAATTACTCATCCTCAGATTTCTTAACCCTGGCCAGGAGAAAGTTCCAGTGCGACGCGAGCAGGCGGTACAGTGTGAGCGAGCTGAACTACCCTTCGTTTGGGGTGGTGTTTGGATCAGGGTCGAGCGTGGTTAAACACACGCGTACCCTGACGAACGTGGGACCCGCTGGGACCTACAAGGCTTCAGTGACGTCAGAGAACTCATCCGTGAAAATCTCGGTTGAGCCGCAAGTGTTGAGTTTCAAGGAAAATGAGAAAAAATCATTCAGCATCACGTTTTCGTCATCGGGTTCGCCCCAGAGAGTAAATGCTTTTGGTTTTGGACGGTTGGAGTGGTCTGATGGGAAGCACGTGGTTGGAACCCCGATTTCAATTAATTGGGATTGATCGTCACACCTGGCATAAGGTTGATCTAAGGTTCATCACTCACTCGAAGAGGGGTGTGTCTTGATTGATTGATTGGCTAGTTATTATATTTATATATGTATTATTATTATTATATTTAACTTTTGCAAACAAAATGTTGGCTTTAACTAGCTGGAAATTAATGATGGCTGGGACCTTGTGTTTGGTTGGTGTGGGTCTGTTTGCTAGCTGGGGGAAATGTTGCAACGGGTAAAAATGTTTGGGTCATCTATTTCTTCCGGTGTACACCATGCTAATCATTGATGAATATTTCTTCAACCATCACTAGGTTTCGTTCAACTATTGCATACCCACTTTAAGCACTAACTTTCCATTTTACTTTAAAGTATTTTATTTGCTTCACGTTGGTTGCAACCATTTTTCACACGCCATACCTCTACTGTGCCTCAACGGTACAATGAATGGTATTCTAGAAGCTGGTTCTAATTTCGGTCAACAAACGATTGTAACTGCGGTCCTGACTATAAAAATTGAGGTTGATAGATTTGAAAGCGCTGAATAATCAAGTGAGGAATGTGTTACATCTACTCAAATCAAAACAACAAGTATAATATACTTTTGCAACTGAATCAATCTGAAAAGTCTTGTGTACAAATAGATGGCACTTGTTCCCCTTTGATATCGATTGGAGGGGGAAAATATGACTGCTACCTGTATGATAAACATGTAGACGATGATATTATTTCATGTATATAACATTTAGTTGTAACACCCAAGCTTGATCTTTGATCAATAGCCATCGTATATTCTTTCTTCGATTTTTAGCTTCTATCAATCCAGGAACCTTAGTTCAGTTGCTTTATACCTCTGGTAATTAAATTTATAGATTACTAATGCTCTGTTTAGAGAGGGAATAGATATGTTTAGAGAATGAATAGATGAGAAATTATTTGATGAAAAATAAGGTGGAATTTGTGTTTGTTTGGTAAAATGAAATTATGTGAGAAATAAAAAAAAATTGATATTTTAAAATTATATTTTATATAGTTAAAATGTTTCATATAAATAAATTAGTAAAACAATTATTATATTATTCCTTTATTTGTTTTAACATATAATATTTGATTTTGATTCTTTTAAATATAATTTAGTAGCATAATCAATTATGTTAGTTATAGTATATTTGATTATGTTATGTTGTTTTCAAAATATTTATTTTGTGTGTGTTTTCATTCTCAAACAAAGATTAATCATTATTTTTAATAGTAAATATTTAATACTAATGTAATAGTTATAAAAAAAAAAGGCATATAATCAACTATCCCAAACCATGATGAATTGATATAATCTACTATCCTAAACTATAATCACCACATGTAATTATGGTCACCTTTATACACAAATAATATGTCAGATAATAGATTACCAATACATCATAATTGATTATGGTCACCACCTTCAGTACACAAATAACATATGATAATGGATGTAATCAAATATGAAATATGTAATCGAATACCTTAAATGATTACAATAATATATAATTAAAAAACATAATTGATTATACATTATTATAATCATTACATAATTGAATATGATAAGCATTTTTTTAACAAGATTAAAAAATGAGCAATGAACAAACAACATATCTTCGCATTTTTTCAAAATTTTATGCAAATCACCTAATTTTAGTGGGTTATTTATTATTATTATTTTTTTTTTTTGCATGGGAGTCGCTCTCATTTACTTTCAAATCCATACAAACTTATGTTCCCAAACAACTCTATTTTATTGAATTACATGCAAATATTCTCTATTAGCTTCATGAATGTTTTTAAAATCAAATTGGTCATTGAATTGATATAGACATTGGTTCAAGATTAATTGATTCAATTGTGGTTGAATCATAATCAAATCGATATTAATAAATTAATTATTATTATTATTATTATTATAATACAAAAATAATATTAAATAAATATAATATTATAATTTTATAACACTAAAAATTAAAATAAATAATTATTTGTAAATTCTTAATATTTAATATATATGTAAAATTCTAAACTATATATAATATACTATTTAAGTTTAAGTTTTAATAAAATATAAAAATATTTATTAATAATAACAAGTTTACATCTAGAATAAAAAATATCAAATAATACAATATAAACTATAAAAAATAAAGATAAAAAATTATAGATTAATATAAATGATTAAATTATATTTATGAAACAAGTATTAAAAATAAGTTATTATAATTTATAATTTTTATTAAATATTATTTTTTATAAAATGTTTTAAATTAAATTTTAAAAATAACTTTTTTGATTGTACTGATTTAAATTGATTTGATTAGTTTTTTTTAACCAATTTTGACTGATTCAATACAAAGTGGTTCTTTAGACCAATCGAATTGATTAAGAATCAATTCCCGATCAAACTGGTCTAACTTATCGGTTCAATCCGACTTTTAAAATATTACATTTTGTACTAAATTATAGTTACCAAATTCATTGTAAAAAAGTAATTGTCTTATGTTTGATTTATAAGAAGATCATAATACATGACAAAAAAAGATGAAAAAGGGCAAGATAAAAGTTTATTTTTGTTACTCAATAAATTATAGGACCAAATTGTCTAAAGTACAAGATCCTCATTATCAGTGTTACCCCAACCCTTACAATCGTCACCCAAGCACACCACCACTAACATCGACAGCTATTGTTATTACAACCTACCATCACTCTATTACTATCATTGTTGTTATTATTGTTTGTGTCACTACTACTACCATCATCAATATTATTATCGTCATCACAATTTTCATTGCTATTATTTCTCATTAAAATAATAGAAAAATTATTATAATAACTAATATTAAAAAGGATAGTGTACTAAATTTAATATTATTTTATTTATATTATATTATCCACCAAACAATGTGCTAAATAATAAATTGTTTAGTAATTTAAGCATCAGTTTAGATCCCTATTTGAACCTTAATGCGTATAAATGCACCCCAAATTTAATTGCATATAATTAAAGACTAATTTTACTTAATTAAATGGTTAAAGTTTGAATTCTAATTTTTAAAAAGGTAAAAAAAAATCAAATTCTAATAAATATTCACTTATTTAATATATATCAAACTCTAACAAGAAAATTGGTATAACCATAAAGAAATGAGTTTTATTTTAATCAATAACAAATAAATGAGTTTGTCTCTTGGGTGACGAATAATTGGGGCACAAATATATTCATTAAATAAAATGTTTTGAATTTATCTTAAAACGGTTGACTAATTATTTTTTATAACTCTCTCAGAAAAGTCTTTCTAAGTCTGTTAAATACCAAAGGATCGTCGCATATCGTGAACAAATTCTTAAAATAGAGGATCAACGAGTATCAAATAATTTTTCTACTTTCGTATCAAAAATATTCTAAAAACATCAATTTGTACGAAAGGTGTTACCCATTTTTTATGCAACTACTTCTACACTTCTAGTTAAATTTGAAAAGGACGAGTTAATATCTTGGATGTAAATGACACCTAGTCGTTCGAAAGTACGTACATGTTAAATATCTGCCTTTTACAAAAAGAAAAAAAAATATAAAGCATCAATTAATATGTTATATTTTTTCTTTTTGACACCATATCACTACAAAAAAAATGCGTGATTTGTGGCGGTTATTTTGGTGGTTTCTGGCGGTTAAAAACCGCCCCAAATTGCACTACCGGTGTCATTAATAACCGCCGGATCTACGGTCGCCAAAAACCGTTTGTGGCATATATTCTGTAAACGCTGGTTCTATGCGCCAAAAAATCCAATCTAGGGAATGTGTCTCCTCCTCATGGCACTCCTAAGGTCATTCCAATATTGGATAGGAGGGTCAATATGGAGGCGCCTTTCCCTTTCTAAGGTCGTCCACCAGTACATGGCATGCCCTTGGAAGCTAAGGGTAGCTAGAGGGACTTTCCTCTCTTCACTCACTTTGTGGCAAGCAAAGAGTTGCTCAACCTTCATCTCCCATTATTTAAATCCATTTTCTTAATTTCTAATATAATTTTTTTAAAGTATATTTAATTTTATTTAAATAAGTTTATATGACTTTTAATATTTTCGATGCCAATTTTAGTATTTTTAGGTTTCGCAAACCATTATGATGGTTAGTGGAATAGTGATCAGTTATTTATAGTAAAAAGTTAATGCTAAGTGGGAAATAATTGCTAATAAGAATTTAATTCCTAATAAAATTCTTAGTGAAAATTTACTACTTGTACATAATAAGTTGTTTATCTTAATCTATAAATAAGAACTTGTTATAAACATTCAAAGCAAACTTGTCAGATTAATCAAATTAATTATTTCTCCATTGTAAGAGTTTTCTTTTGTTCTAAGGATAAAAATGTCATAATGTTAATTCTATCAACAAGTCGTAATTAGAGTTATACTTTCTTTTGATTTTATTGATAAATCAAGATTAAAGTTAATTAAGTTCCTTTTATGATCTTTTACTTATTTTAGCGATGAACATAAAGTAAAATCGTATCAATTAAACTTTGTAGGGGCAGGGCCTTGCTAATAAGAGAGATAGGAAAGAAGAATGAAAAACTATTACATTATATCATAAAAAAAATTATAATGCAAATAAATAAGCTAGCTAAACACTTATTTAATAAATTCTTATCACATATGTTTCATAATTTTAATCATAAAATTTACTAGAATAATTTAAATAATTCTTTCTTTGAAACCAGTTAAATAATTTTTTAAAATTTAATTGATATAAACAACTTATTAAAATAAGTTTAGAAATTTTATAGAAGTTATAATTTTTTTTAGATTAAATATATTTTAAATCTATAAATTTTTACGATTTTCACTTTTTTGGTCACTCTATGATTTTTTTTACTAGATTTAATATTTAATATTTTTCTATTTTTTTTACTTTTAGTCTCAAAATTTGTCCTCTTATTAACATTTTTTATCTTTGACACCAAATTTTTTTTTTGTGAAGAAAATATTATATACAAAAAATATCAATTTAGCGACCGATTTTCTTCTGTCGCTAATAGCGACAAAATTAGCGACCGAATTTGATTTGGTTGCAAATTTTATTTAGCGACCAATTTAGCGACCGAATTTTTAGTGACAAATAATCAGTGCTAAATCGGTCGCTAAAATAATAATTGTTGATTAAAATAGCGACGAAATGGTTTCGGTCGCTAAAAAAAATAAATAAATTGTTATTTATATTAATTTTAGCGACCAAATTAAAATCGATCGCTAAAAAAATAAAAAAAATATTATTATCCATAAAAATTTTAGCGACTAAATTAAAAGCGGTCGCTAAAAAAATAAAATATTATTATTTGTAATAATTTTAGCATATATATCACCTGTCTTTTTCAACACATAGTTTCCGCAACATGAAATGTGAAATTTTTTTCTTTTGTTCCTTATGAAAACTACAAAAATCTATTCCATAATAAGTATTTTTCCATATATATATATAAACCTTAACTTTGACTGTATGCTTAATCTGTATAGTTATAGGAAATTTTCTGTTTACTATCATCTCAAATTTTTTTCAGAATTTTTATGGATTTTTTTTTAAAAAAAATTAATAACTTTGATATTGTTATTAAGAAATTTAATTTTCTCTTTCTCTTCCTTTTTATTTATTTATTTATTTTTAACGTTTTGAAATTCATGAACTGAAGTGATAATCATGCATAGCAGAACTCTTGAGTCGAGGGTCTCAACTTTTAGTTTTCCGTTTTAGAAAATTAAAAGCTTATAATAAGAAAAGCATATGAAGAGTAAGTTATATAAACAAGTGAATGAAAGATTTATACCTTGGAGAGGCAGAGACGAGGATGAGCTTAGTGAAGAGATGAGGGTGGGAGATTGAAGCGAGGAGGCCGACCATAGCGGAAAGAGAGTGACCAACGAAGATGCAAGATTGCACTTGAAGCTCTTGCAAAATGGCGAGAAGGTCATAGACAAAACCATCGATTGTGTAGTATCGTTCGAAGTCGAAGTATTCAGGGTTTGTTGTACCAGCGCCCATGTTGTCGTACAGAATCACACGGTAATCATCGACCAGATGCGGCACCAGGTGCTTCCACACCGATTGGTCTGTGCCAAACCCATGAGCCAGAATCACAATTTCGTTTCCTTTTCCAACTATTCTCACGTTATGAGCCTCTTCCACGATTCCCATAATCTTTCCTTTTCTCTAAGGGCCTGATATTTCTTTCCTTTCGCTTAGTTTTCAATTTTCGATCGTAAATGGTTAATTTAAGTATTCCTGTCATATCCATGCCCGGGGAATTAAAGAGAGTGGGGTCGAATATAGGGTGGTTCACAATCTACAAATGATGCTAAAGGCAACTTGCATAATGTGGAGGCTGAATTGCCACGTGACAAAACGCTGTCATGTAGGTATTAGGTGGGCTTAAATTATATGTGTATAACAAGTCCACCACAATTAATAAATAATCAAGTTTCTTAATTAGCTTGAGAGGGATTTTACTCTCTAATTCAGATAAAATCTATTTAAAGAAACCTTAAAAAAATTCCTTTTCAACTTAGATAATTAAGACCATCTGCATGCAGCCCACTGTATTACTTCACCTCTTTTTTTCTCTTTTTCTTAAACAACTAAACTTATATAAACAATTTTGTTAAAATTTAAACAACACATTTTAGTACTCAAATAATAAAAATAGTTGATGTAGCACAATATAATCAACTGAAACTGCTCTAACATTCAAAACTATTTAGGTCGATTGCGATCGTCTCAGCTCCCTCTGTCGTTCAAAAAGTTCGGCTTTCCGCAAGGACGGTGTAGTATTTCAGATTTCATAAATATTTATGAATGTCATAGTTAAAAATATTACCATAAGGTAAGGTAGGTTAAAGAATTTTTAATTTTAAAAATAAGGAAGGAGTGTTTGGACAAACAAATATAGAGAATAAATTTGTTGCAGAAAAATTTGCGCACTCGCGTATCTTCAGCCTCACATTTTTTTTCCGGATATTTAGCATGTAGGGCCCATGGCACTCACTCCAACATAGTCAAACATATATGAGAATTGCTACACGTTCTGAAAAATGAAACGAATCATCGCCCAAAATTTAAAAAAAATTTATATTTTTTAATAAATTTATTATAAAATAATTATTTAATTTAATATTTTATAATTTAAATTATTCTTTTTTATACATTTGGAATATATTTCAGAGGTTGCGTTCGGAGGATGAAGAATTTTCCAACATATATATCTACCCAGATTCGGTTAAGTGTTGTTTTCTCGGATATTTAGTCATATATATCTGTTAGGTTATATAACTAACAATAATCAGGGTTAGGAAGAATTTATAATGGAGAAATGTATTTGGGGGTTGTTTTTTTGATACATAAATATTTTTAAGTTTATAAAAAAAAAATTGATTACATTTTTTTTTATAGTTATTAACTTTTGACAATTTTCACTTTTAAGGTCTATTTGACTTAAAGGAAAAATATGAAACAAAAATAATTAAAAATTTTGTTTGGTTGAAAATAGAGAAAAAGGGAGATTTTTCTAAATTTGTCTTGTTTGGTCTTACATTACAAGAAATGTTACATATAATGGCATATCAAAATATCACTATAAATACAAAATATATATGTAAATACAAATTTATTTGACATATAATTGAATACAATTTAATATTAATTTTGAATGAGATTTACCAATATATATCAATATAACTTATAACGACATTTTTTAATAGTATACCAATATATATCATATTCATAATGTAGATAAAAGTAATTTTTATTGATAAATATTATATTATTATATACTACAAAAAAATTTGGATTTAACGACTACCAAAATCGGTCGCTAAATTGCTAAAATCGGTCGCTATTTGCCTTAGCTTGAACTAAAATTGTAAAGGTGAGGGTGAGATGAAGAAGGCAAAGAGAGGATTCGAGGTGCTGAAGCACATGGACGGACGCGCGGAAACTGGGGATGGCGGGTTCGTGAGGCTTGAACTAGAAATTGTTTTTTTTATTTCTTTTAAATTGATTTTATAAGTTTTTTTTAATTTCATAAAAGAACTAAAGCACGTATAATTAATTAAATAAAAAATTATTGAACGTTTTAGCGGTTTAAAACCGCCAGAAAGTGTCAACACAGTAACGATTATCATTCCTGCGGTTTAAAACCGCCAGAAAGTGTCGATAATTTGTAGCATTTGTCATCCTTTCCACAAATGTAACAATTTTTTGCGGTTTATGGAAACCGCAAAAAAAAACCCGCCAATAATTACCTATTTTTTTGTAGTGTATTAATATATTCTATTTAATGATCGAAGAAAATACCTAAATTTGTCCCAGTACAGAGAAACATGGGCAGGGCGGGCAGAGCAAGTCAGAACTTTTGAATCAATTTTTTTTAGTATTTATATAAAAATATTTTAACATCATAAATAATTTTTTATTATTTATATATTTTTATTTTTTAATAAATTATATA